GTTGCCCCAAATAAAATAGTGAAATTAAGTAGACACCGAACTGAATATATTCCAAGGGCACACCGTAATAAGTTAAGGAAACTGAAGAAACAGTACTATTCCACTAAGGACATATCACTATTGCTCTCAATCCACGAGTCTCTTGAATCTATCAAGCGCCTACGTTCTCAAAAGGACCTCGACGAAGAGTTAACGGCACTTGAAAGTACCTCCAAAGTTTATAACTTAACGGCACTTCTTAAAAAACGAATGCAGTCAGCGAGGGAAATCCCATACTTACTTCACGACAAAGTAATCTACAATGAACCTGCCACTATCTGTGAACTTTCAGTGATTGGTTTGCAAACTTTAGTTTAGAAACACATATGCCTGGTGAAACCGCTCCCCTTACTATCTCTTCCCTTGAAAGCATTGTGTTCACTAATCAACTAATAGTACAAGCAATTAAAAGCCTTAAACCTTCCACTAGTACGGGACCGGATGGCCTCGCTTCGATAATTTTCAAAAACAGTGGGTGTGATATACCCCTGTTACTTCTTAAATTCTTCTCAATATCTATGGACACTGGCACTTACCCTAGTGAGTGGAAAACTAGCTTCATAATTCCACATTACAAATCTGGTGATAGGGCAAACGTCCGCAATTACAGACCCATAAATATAACCCCAGTTATCTCACGAATCATGGAGAAAGTTGTAAAAGATCAATTGTCAGACTACCTAATTAGGGAGGATCTTGTTACAAGGTCTCAACACGGATTTCTCAAAAATAGATCCTGCGTTACTTGCCACTTCGACTTTTTCAACTGCATCACTAGTAATCGCGAAGCACGTAAGCTAGTCGTTGTTCTATACTTCGATATATCTAGGGCATTTGACATGGTATCTCACAGTATTCTCTTTGAGAAGCTGTACTCTTGTGGAATTCGCAACCCATTACTGAACTGGTTAAAATCATTTCTAAGCAACAGGGTACAAATAACCAAAGTTGGATCTGTATTGTCTCACCCTAGGCAGATCTCAAGTGGGGTCGTGCAAGGTAGTGTCCTAGGTCCACTTTTATTCACAGTTTACATTAACAGCATTTGCAAGTGCTTCACCTCAGGTAAACCATTCCTATATGCTGACGACCTCAAAGTCGTCTACTCCTGCTACACTCATGAATTAAGCGATATGGTTACTAAAATACATCTTGAACTAAGTAGCCTTGCAACGTGGTGTGCTGAATCCTGCCTAAATTTTAACATTGACAAATGCGGCTGGATTTGTATCGGCAACAGTAAGCTTGATCTAAACCTTGAAATAAATGGGCGAAAACTAGCTAAGCTCAATTCAGTCGTAGATCTCGGTATTAGATACTCTAGTAACCTAACGTTCGCTGAACAGACTGATTATGCCAGACGTAAAACGCGTAGGCTGATAGGATGCATAACACGCAATTTCTTTTGTTGTGAAACTAGGGTTTTATTATACAAAGTATGTGTCCGACCTATCTTAGAATACTGCCCGTTTATTCTTAGCGGACTAAGACAAAATGACAAGCTTAAATTAGAGGGAGTGCAACGGCAGTTTACCTCAAGAACTCTTGGTTTAGAAAGTAGTCTGGAATACCATGAGAGATGCGTAAGACTAAGATTAGAACCCCTCTGGAAAAGACGCCTTAAGCTAAACCTAATCTTTTACTATAAGCTAACTAATCTTCTCTTGCATTCCTCCGAGCCAATAACTAAACCTACCGCTGTCGTCAGTTACAATCTTAGAAATCATCACAACCTAGCTGCTATAGAGCACTGTCAGACTTACGTGCGGTACAACTTCTTCTTAAATAAGTTTTCAGTCATTTGGAATAGACTACCAGCTAATGTGCGCGATGCAAACACACTTCCAGTGTTCATCTCCTCAGTCACCAGACTGCTCAAAGATGACAATGCACTTATACGTCTGACTCTTACACCCTCTTTTTCACCCTACATAGATATTTTAAGTTGTTTAAACGTGTAGTTACAGCAAACTACAATTATAAATTTTAATATTATTGGAACTAGATGATTAACATTTCTACACAGGACAGTAATATTAGTTCACACATAATATAAAAGTTAGCATAACGGGACTAGTTAGTTTGTGTACCAAAATAACCACAGTTACTAAACAGAATATATATGTTTATATTTATTAATCACTCCTTAAGGACTCCCGTTGCTTTCTTTTGCGTTGCTGTTGTTTGTCTTCTTTTTTCTCTCACCATTTCAGCTTCCATTTGACTTTTTGAATGAGAATGAATAATGTGGATATTTGACCATTTACAATGACAAATGATCTGCAAACATTATTGGTCCCGTATCTTTCAGTTGCCTGGTTAATAACGAATTAACTTTCTCCACGACGCAACCTGGATTACATTTGTGGAATATACTCTTATACCAATGGAAAAGTATCAATTTGTAATACAACTTCACGATTGTAGCTTATAACATAACTGATCGTATCTGTAAAAATAGCTTCCTTATTACCCAATTTGGATATAAATCAAATCAAAAATGAGATTCGGATTTGTACACACCCAGGTTATATTGAGGAATTACTTCAAGCTTTATTTTTTCCCAAGTATTTTTAATCCATCCAAAACTTACTTGGGTTTTTTTGTTAATGCGAAGACAACATTCCTATATTTCATGATGTGCTCCATTGAATGACTTGTTATATTGTGGAATAACTTCAAGCTTTATTTTTTCCCAAGTATTTTTAATCCATCCGAAACTTACTTGGGTTTTTTTGTTAATGCGAAGTCAATATTCCTATATTTCATGATGTGCTCCATTGAATGACTGGTTATCATATTGTTCCCACAGACCTAAAAAAATGGCATGCATTTTCATGTAAATTTATATGTTTATATGAGAATATACATTATTATAATTATTATTAAAACAAAAACGCCAGCAACCATGTAACTTAACCATAAACCGAATTTATGAAATTTAATTAATGCTTATCCATGCCTGTATATTTGGTGTGTCCTACACAAGTAGGAAAAAATGTGTACTTTATTAAAACATTATTATTAATTATGATTGCTAATCGTATATGTAATTTATCATATTGATGATGCCTGTAAACTGGCGTCTCTCATGTACAAAATGAGAATATACTATTATTATTATTATAACTGTAGAAAAGAAGAAAGTGTTTATTTGTCTCCCATTCTAAGGAGATGCAGTGTCACGAAAGATTGACGAAAGACTGAAAGGTGCAATAAAAAGAAGCTTCTCTACAGCAAAACTCATAACACTATGCAGCACCACTTCTTCTATAAGCCACTTGAAACTGGATAAATACCCTGCCGATGTCACCTCCAACTGCTTTTATGAATTTACGTGTACTTGCGGGAGCAAGTACATTGGAAGGACAGAAAGAAAGGCTTCTATCCAGTTTTCTGAACATATTCCAAGAAACCTGTGCCTGAAAGGAAGCAAATATTTTCAGAGTACAATTACCAGACATATTGATGATACCGGACATCTCGTAGAGATTTCCGAGTCCTTCAAAATATTAAATAGACAAAGGACAAAATAGACAAATTTGCTACGATTTGCCGAAGCGATCGCAATCAAACGATTTAAACCAGAGTTATGCATACAGAAAGAGAGTGTGATTAACCTCTCACCCCCTTGGTAACTGAATTTTGGTTTTGATTACATTAATTATAGCGATATGTGCCTCATATACTACGTTTTATCAGCCGAAAATCATTGTTCCAGACATATCCTGGGCAACAATGACTCAAAGAATCCATCGCTTATACTGCAGCAACGTTTAAAGGCCCAGTCTTATGACAATTTTAAACTAATTCTTACCTACGCCCCAATAATATCTTTTTACGGTAAATGAGTTGTTTATCAACTTAAAATGTACCTAGTCCGTATTGAAATAAAGACGATCAATCTTGCAGAGAGCTTTGGATAATGAATACGGACTAAAAGAACTGAAATAAGACTGACAAGCAAACAGTTTGCTTTGGGCTACTTTTGAAAATGCCTAGAACAAGAACAGGGTACTGAATTCGCACAAGTCATGCTGAACACCAGCACAAAGTTCCAAGTTGTTCTCATTATCAAAACATTTCAGAACAATTTCAGGATTAACTCAGAATGGAAAGCCAGATTGCAGGTCTGCCATAATCGTAAAATTCAAATCAATTAATATGAACTTCAGACTAAACATAAACTTGTAGTAGCATCCAGTGACAGAAAGTAACCTTGACAGGTTCGAATATGGAAGATGTCAGAAAACCTTTAAATTTCAACGGCAAACGAATTCACAAAAACAAAAAACCAGTCAAAGCGAGTGTCAGCCACGTCTCGTAAACCGTTAATGCCCAGCTCTTGCTGCACTCGGGTTCACGCTGCTCCTTGAAGTTTCTCAGAAACGCTTAGTAATAACGGACGCAAAAGCCAAAACACCGATTGGAGACTCGAGGATTCTTTATTGTAGCACCAACACATAAAGAATATTACAACGAAGGTTTCTGACAGTTGTTTCCTGTTTTCTTTCTGACTAGCGACCGATGAGACGATGACTGGTGTATTGATGCCTCCGCGAAAATTGGGGAAGTTGGTTTTGAGCAAACAACCATGAATTGATCGTTCAATCTTCAACTACAATTTCAGCGGTAACCCATAAGTACGTTGGATCTTGATATGCCGTCTTTCTTTGACAAGGTGGTTGAATGTAACTATGAGTGAACTTACATCAAATCAATAACGTAACAGCCTGCGGACTGGGGACATAATATTGAAGGTGTCATGTCATTCTTTGTTGCCAGCAGCCACGCTATAATAATATATTCTCATTTTTGTACATGAGGGATGCCAGTTTACAGGCATCATCAATTCATTTTTGGAGGTAAAATATAATATGGTTATATTTACACAGTTTTACATGCTGATTGAATGACTGGTTGGTTGAACTTACAAAGGACAAGAGAAGTAATCTCAAAATTCACTGTGTTTTCCTTTCTTTCCTTCGTACTATAACATTACTTTTGAACGCTCTGTTGGTTATTGATTTCTTCGGATCAGTAATCAGAGTTTCACTGAATTTTACTTTTTTCTTCTTTTTCGCCTGTTCTGGTTGAGATGTTAGAGGCGACATTTCGCTGCTTACATCATCGTTAACATCAGTGGCCTCTTGAGACAACTGTTTATCACCCGAGGGTAATTGACCAGCACGTTTCATTCCCTCAAGACAGGCAGCACGATGAGCTTCACGGTCAGCTTCATTCGCTACACGTCAAGCCTCGTGTTCAGCGCGACGTTTAGCGCGAATAGCTTCACGTTGTCTTAGGCGTTCAGATTGTATAACTAATTCTGTTACTGAACGTGTTTGCCAACGGTGATAAAAAAAAAGTACCAGTGTTCACCCCTCCTTCTATCTTTATTAAATTTAGCGTTAGACGTGGTCCAATTTTAGTTAATCGAAGTGTAGCCTTTTTAGCAGTTCCTAAATGCTTTAATCCATGAACCGGACCAGTAGTACGACCACGTTTACGTTTACGTGAACTTGACAGAGAACAAAGAGCCTCTCCATCAGAAAACTGGGACGATGAGGAATTGACATCTGGTACCAGATCAACCTCTTCCATATCTGACAAAATATCTGATAAGGCTGAATCCGACAAAAGACCTGTCTTGGTTAGGTAGTCGTCCATTGAAGAATACTTAGCTAAATTTGGCAAACCTGTCGACTTTCCTGAACCGCTAGGACCGATACCATAATTCGACTGGGGGTCAGCAAGACGTCGGCGTTTCAGTTTTGCTCCACCCATACCAAGACTTCGTAGTGCACGACTTATACATCTATTTTCTGTACGAATGTGATGGTGTCGGATACATACAACATCGTTCAGCTGTTTTGTGTTCCCTTCGTTTTGACTGGATGTGTCCACTTCCCTACTAACAAGCAGAACACGTTTGATGCTAGAATTGCGGAGGCCTGTGGAATTAGAGTTTGTAATCCTGGCCTCTGTGTACAAAAGGAAATTGTTTTAACTCTGTTCCTACCATACTAATACGTTTTATTTGTTAACCATTAATATTGATAATATTTTGTTTCACCTCTTATCATCTTCTGATTCGTTTGAAAATATTTTTCATCATTACAATTAGCTTAACTCTTTTTAATAATACTACTAATTTTTACTGTTGTTCTCTCCCTCTATATGTATATCCCTGTACGTGCAGTATGCATCCTAAGAGTTCTACCGAAATCCGATGAATTCATTTAATCCTGGTTTTTCAAACTTTTGGTACGTGTTTTGAAATTTTCGGGTATACATATCATGTTAAAGAAGTGAGTGCTTCCGAAGCCCTTATTAATAGGCTTTCTCACGCAAAATATTCATTGGCTACATTCACTAGATGCAATAATGGAGGCTGATACCGACAACCAGACGTAAAATGAATGAGCTGAGAGAAGCTTATATGGCGTGGCTTAGGTACAGTTGTCGCTAAATAGCTCTCATCTTCTAGGTACTTGTGTAAAAACACTGTTACGGGTAGTCATAGAGTGCACACTCATGTTTGTGAAATGCGCCCTGTATATCCATCCTCTGAAGACCATAGTTCCTGACAGAACGACATGTTTAGTAGTGTTTTAAAAATTGTGCGTCGGTGGCACAGTGGTTAGGACTCTCGCCGACCATGCATATGGTCCGGGGTTCGAGCCCACGCCGACGCACACCTGATATCTATGGTCGGCCTGCGAAATTTGGGCTACCGATATCCATGCTGAAAATTCCATACTTGTACCAAAAATACAGTGTGGAATCAAGCTGTAATCAAAAATATATATATATATACATCGAATTTCGATTAATGTGAGTGATGGCTTTGAAGTAAACATAATACTTCTCTCCCTTCATATTCAAAATCACGTCATATCCAGTGTGCTCACAATTTTATTCAACTATGCCTGAAAGCAATGTACTCCTCAAAATTACGAACAACTCATTACTGCAGCAGGTTTCAGGTGACTCGCTTCGGTGAAATTGGGGGTATTTTTTGGAAGGACTAAGTTAAAACGTGAAAATGAGTTTATTCATAAGCGTCAAGCACTGTGATTGTGACGTATGCTTCTGATAGGATTTATCATTAGTATATACAGAGGCGCTCATCAGCATAAAAATATCACATAGTGGATAAACATATTCGACGGCAAATGAGAAAATGAATCAGCGTTGCGGCAAAACATACTAGAAACGAAGAGGAGAAAAAGAAGCCCAATACGAAGGGCAGAAAGAGCACAACAAGAAAGATCTGCTCAAATGAGCATTTTCAGATAAGGCGTCAATGTAATTGAAGAGCGAACGATCGATTCATGGTTGTTTACTCAAAACCGACTCCATATTTTGGCGGGGTCACCGATACTGAAGTCACCGATCCATCGTAACTATCAGAAGTATTATTGTGATTAATTGTTATGACATTTATTCTTAGACTTTTTCTATGATAACCTTATTGTTGATTCCATATTGGTGCAAGGATAAAGGACCCTCGAGTCACCTATCTGTGTTCTGTTTTTTCGCGTAGGTCATTGCACATTGTTGCTGAATGTCTTCCAAGGGCAGCGTTAAGTCCAGTGTTGTTAGACCTGGACAATGACATAAGGTGTACATAATTTCGCCATAAAGAGACATCGAATTTCAAAAAAAGGATTCCTTTGCCAAGCCTCCTTACTCCCGCTGTTAAATTATCATCGAACTATCGGGATTTCGCACCCCTGTAACGATTGTTTGACGAAGTATTTTCTACTGACAGCGGCCTTCAATTCTAACCCATTGGAAAAGTTTAACAAGATTGGAGTGGCTTGAGACAATTCAAGAAATCAGCCTTTAACTTCTGTAAATACTGGAACCTAGTCAGTCACACCGCCCACATAAAATCCACACATGCGAAATTCGCCATCGCCTAAGAGCATTATCCAGCTGCAGCCGGTGATATTCAGTAGTTCAGTGATGTGGCCGAGGTCTCTAGGAGTTTGAAAAAATTGAGTTACTAGAGAGATCTTTAAAAAATTCAAATAGCATTGTAAAACCATGTTGACTGTTTCTATGATGCTGCTATCCATCATATTAAATAAAATAAACTGTTGGGGAATGTTACAGGTTTAAGGGTGCGTTTTAAGTGAGGACTAAGCTCCTGCTGAGGGGAAATTTATAGAAGCACGGAGGATGCTGACAATTCTACAAATTCTGAATTCGTTGAATTTAGCAGGGACTTCGACTAGGTTTTATTCCTAGGTTTTTCATTTAATTTTATTTTGGTTCATTATTCATAAAATAGTTGAAATTTGAACCTAAGTATTTGTTGCGAAAAAAGAGAACCAGGATCAGCGAATTTCTTTCCTCATGGTAGCTCATGAAGTGTTGAATGTTTTGAAGTTTCACCCTCACTTATATTTTCATCATATACTGAATGACCACCAGGGGTAGTTACAACATGGAGTCTGATATTTATCTATGATCGCTTGCTTTGGGAGACTGTGCACGATAGTAAATAATGTTCGCTGTAAGAATTAATGGCTGACAGCCATTTTAGTTGTCGTAATCGAAGTAAAAGCTGGGCTTTCCAGTTGAAATGCGCGTAACGTGTTTTGAAACTCTGAAATATAAGGACGGTGCTGTTATATAAGGGTAAAAAAGTGCGAAAAGGTTGTTCCTGAAATGGAGGTGGAAGCACTGACCATAGTTGCCAATTCAGAAAACCAGGTGACCCAAACCGCCCGTACCTCTGAAAGCAGTAACTAGAATTATTGCACTACTTTTTTGGCACGAAACATTTGTCGTCAAAACGGTCTAGGAGACCACCGCAGATGTCATCACGGCATAATTGTAACAGGTTTAGAAGGAAGCAAAAGTGCCTACTTATCGGGAAAAAAGCTACGCAGTCAATCTGCAAAAGGAGGGCGACGAAGGCCTGTGCAGGAACTGGCGTGCAATAACGATTTTGTCCATGCCGACTAAAATACAAAGTCTCATCATTCTGGAGAGATAAAGGATGCCGTGGATACAAAACTACACCAATCCGTGACAAGATGGATTCGGGAAAGGCGAATCATGTGCTGATCAACTTGCAACTCTACGCATCATCATCACAGAACAAAGAAATGAGTGAGAATCAAATCTCTACCTCAGTTTCATCAAGTTCAAATAGGTCTTCGAAAAAGAAGAATTAATTTGGAAACTTCTTCAACACTATGGCATGCAGTGCCAAAATCTTCACCAACTCCACTCGACACCTGGATGGGTGACAATGGCATTTATCAGGTGACCCACAACGGAAAACTCAGCGAGGCATCCGAAATTCATACAGGAGTTAGACAAAGTAGCTTACCTGTTACCACCAATGGTATTCTTGATTACGGTGGACTGGATTAAGCATCAGATTGTGGGGAGTGAGAAGACGGAAATACGCTAGACCACCGATAAGAAGACTCTAGAAGATCTGGATTTCGTAGATGACATATTTCTAATATCACACAAATTCGAAGACTTGCAGGCAGGCAGGCGAAAAACAACAAACTGGCAGGCAGCGAAGACAGGACTGCAGGTGAACATAGAGAAGACAGAAGTGATGAAGATAACCAATGAACCGAAATAGCCAGCACTAATCACCATCAACGGGAGAGATTTAACAGAGATTGCCTCTTTCACTTATCTAGGAAGTACTTCATCAACCCACAGCTATACAGCACGGATGAAGATATCAGAGTCAGAATCGGAAAGGAAAGATACGCCTTCATCAACCTGAAATCAGTTTGAAAACATGCGGTAACACAGCACGAGGAACAAGATCCGGAATTTCAACACCAATGTCAAGTTGGTGCTCCTACACGGGCCTGAAACTTGCACTGCGTGTCACGATAAGGATTTACAAGAGGTTGCAGACATTCCTCAACAGCTGCCCACTTCCCTGGCTGCTCAATACTGAAGATCAAATGGTCGGCTGGAAAGAAAGAATTATCAGCAAGAAACTCTGGCCGGAGATAAAGCAACCAAGAGCCGATCGCTCAACAAATATGTCGGAGCAAATAGAGATAGATCGGATGTACATTGAGGAAACCATCGAATGACATCGCGTACCAAGCCATCGCTCGAGTGGAATCCAAATGGGAATCGACGAGTGGGTTGTTCTAGGGTGACGTGGAGATCGTTCGAGGAAGAAATGGTTGACTATGGTCAATCGTGGACTCAGCTGAAGAGGGTGGGAGAAAATAGAAGAAATTGGAGGTGTTGTTGAGGCCATATGTTCTACCCAGAGTCGAAAAGAAACATAATGATGCAAGTAATATTACTCACTTTTTATTTGCACTTTTCATATCACATACTAAATTTTGTTTTAGATATTTAGTAATTTTCCGCGTAGCTTGAGCGGCTACGCGTCACCGTGGGCTTATGTTCTAGAAAGAGGCTACAGTCAGTTTCTAGATCGTAATGAGTTCCTGCGCCGACTTGTTACATGTTTTCGCGAATTCGTTTTCCATTGAATTTTAAAGGTTTTTCTGGATGTTTTGCTCATTTTGCAGTGTGTAGGTCAGTTTTTGTCACTGGGTGCTACTATTTAGCTTATTTTTAGCTTGAAGTTCACAGTTATTATGTTGGTAGTCAAAGATTATTGTAAACCTGCAATCATTGAGCTAATCAACGTATGCTATGCTAATATAGTAACATAGACTATGCTAATAATAGTAACATTAAACTCCCTTACTGTTTTGCCATTGTTTGACAGTGAAACTGTGCGCTGATTTTTCAGCATGAGTGGCACTAAATCGAACCTACTGGGTTTGCTTATCAACGCTGTTCCAGCCCTCACAGGACATATTAAGCATGGACTAGCGTTACTCCAAAGCGGAAAGTTGTGATTCAGCACGCAGCTGCATTTTTAAGCACGACCTATGTCATTTCAGAACATAGTGGGTAAATATGTTCTTCAGTTACCATAAAAAGGCATTATCGGGGAATAAGTTTAGAATTGTTGCAAGCTTGGTGGTGCTGCGGTCTAAGTGATAAATCGTATTAATCACCGTTATTCAGGATATGCTATGAACCGGAAATCCTCAGCTGAAAAACGTATGAATAAGACACAGATCGGTGTAATTTATAACTGACTCCAAATTGCTTTCATCACGAAATAATCAACCAAAGTATGCTTTGAACTGTCGCTCTCAGCCGTTTGAAGGGAAATTTACTTGATTTATGCTGACCTAGTATGCACAAATCCCACAGGTCATTGAATTGACGACTTAAAAAAGTAGATTAGTTAATACATACATTTATCTATATGTACTAATTAAAGACACATTAAATTTTTAGAAATTGTAGTTAAATTATATTCGCCTAGTAATAAAAAATGCATACATCCTATTTTGGACTTAAAATAAATGCATCGAAATTATTGTTGATTTATATTCACTTACTAGACATTCTAAGACATCCTTATACACTTTAAAGACCATCAATGCATCCAAATAACGTGTGACTATCACACTACACTCATACCAAAAAAATTAACACGCCATTATATTATGGCAAGGTAAGCCATAAATCATACTGACTGTAAATTTCCGTGTCAAAATAAAAAGATTACCGCTTTAACTTATATTTTAGAGCAATAGGAAGCCAGCTAACCAAAAGCCAATCAAAATCTGCCTATATCTATTTTCTATGTTCTAACGGTTGATGTTTCACTCACACTAGGTTTGTATTTTGAAGTTATATAGATATGAGGGTGATGTTATCTGATGGATGTATATACTGGTGACCCTGAATAGCCCCTTAGAATTTAAATGCAATAAGGTGTGTAATCCAACAACATCTATTATGAATTTGTGTAACTTGATGTGATGTAAGAATCGCATTTTGTGCCCTTCCGTAAATTTGGTTGGCTCTTGTCCAAGTTAAATTTTAAGGACCAGTAAGTATCAGTGAAGTGCGACCTCACGAATGACCTTGGAAAGCTCAGTGAGCGAGTTTGTGAAACCTGGTAAATAATCCCTTTAAGGATAAAATTTTCTTTTGATAAAATCAGTGTTGTACATTAATATGTACTGATGACGTTTCGAGTACAAATTATTGCTCATAATCATATCAAGGCACTCACACTTGCTTGCTTCATTTATATATATAAGTAACAATTGATTAAACATAAATAAAATCATTATCAGATGAAGCCCATTCGGAAATTATATTAGCGTTATCAATATAATACATTTAGATGGGAAACAAGATGTTTTTATAGTTAAAATAAGTAAATTTTTGGGATGCTATAGTGTTAATTGAATACATTTTGGCAATATTCATTATCTCTTGGTTCGATCGGTAATATCTTTCATGATGGAGTTGTATTCTGCTACAGTGCCCAAGTTTTATTCTTACATCAATAATACATCTGCCAAATAATCATTCATAAAATATGCTAACTAAAGTGCGATGTTAATAAGTGGGATCTGGCAAGTTTCAGGTTACGTTCGGGATTGATGGAGTTAAGTATTAGATAAACGACAGGTTAGGGTTAGGTTAACCGAATGAGGGCGACATTAGGGTTGGTTCGAGTTAGATTAGAGTTACTTTAAGGATATTTTCACATTAGGGTTACGTTAAGGAAAGATTAAGGTTATTGTTAGGATTAAAAGCCAGATAATTACGTGTGTAGAATGTGGTCAAATTGATCTGTTGATACTAGGACCCAAAACAGAGGTATTTTTGTCACACGTCAGGAAAGGGTATCCTGTGCAAGTTTCATGCTCTTTAATTCATTTTCAAGTGAGTATGTATTTATACGCCAAAATCGCCCTTATTGTATGGTTGGTGAGTCCAATGTCGTTTGTTCGTAGGTGCTTACTAAAGCTTAAAGTTGAACTTTGCCTGGCTCTTAAAGGGCAGCTTTGGTTGCAATATCTAGCTTCACCATTTCGACATAGTTTTGACATCACCTTAGTTTTCCTGTCTTGCCAAATGCCAAAGCTTCACTCTGCAGCATATTTGGTATGGTTGAAGTTTAGTAGCTCTTTTGTCTCTATGCCATTTATTATCTGAATCCCGATATTCACTTTGTTTTCGTCTCTCTTTGTGCTGCCACTTTACCCTTATAATCCTACTGCTTATTGAGAAAAGCGGTATGACGAATGTCGCAGTTTTACAACTTCATTAACTGACGTCCCTTAATTGCTTGACACTGCATATCATTTCACTGCCACAGCACTGCACACTAAGCAACCTGATATTATGTCGGTGCCATGGGTATCAAAGGTTGAAAAGGAGCATAGGTTTTTATTCATGTTTAGGTGTCCTCAAACAACCAACCGCTGAAAAAAATAAAATGCTCAACACATTTGAGAATTCACTGTTTACTATCAAAATATGACTCAGTGAGAACCACATATCCGGAGTTTTGACATCCTCAGAAACATTATTACTCAGTTATTTCCGTAGTCTGGAGTCAGTTGCTGTGACATTCGTTGGTGAGCATGCCTCCAAAGCCTCAGGATGGTCGGGGGTGGGTGTCTTGCGCTGCGGATTGGCCACCCCTCCGCACACCTCTTGAAATGCTCCCATATGACCGTGCGTCTTACATAGCCTCTCCTGAGGAAGTCCTACTCACTGCCTTCACGTGGCGGAGGTGTTTCTCGCTAGAGCGTGAGGGCAAAAGCGGATGCCCGGCGCTCTCCACCGGGTTGACTGTCCATTGGATGACAGTCTAGGGGAGATGGCTAAACCCTGATTCCAAACCTTCAACGACTGGCGTATGAAGCTCACCGGCAGACGTATGGACAAAGGGCTTGTTGGATGTCTGGCCCCATTCAAAAAGGCGTATGAACCGAACTCCGGTCACCGGCTGCCAATGGATAGTGGACTCCCTACTCCACTCCTACTGCCTTGTAGGTCACACTTGGCTGTGTAAAGGCTAGAGCTGCACTCTCAAACAAAAGGCCGAGCGATGCTGGGGACATCACTCGTACCAAATTCCCAAGAAACTTCATGAACTCGTTCATGAAGCCGGCTCATCCTCCCGTAGGAGATAGCCGAAGTAAAGTAAGTAAGTAAGTGAGCATGCATGGTTGTTTATGTTATCAATACCACACTGACAATAATCAGCCTATACTGGAGATCTCAAGGCTGAAAACGAAAGCTAATCCAACTAGTAGTTGTTTAGAACCCTTCAGCAGTGCTGGCATTGACTTTCGATGAAATCAGTCAAATTTTTACAAAATAATGCCTGGGAAATTCCAAGTTTGTTAAAACCTCTACTGTATATGGCAAAACTGTTAAGTTTTAGAAAAAACTGGTTGTTTTAATTTCCTTCTTTTAGGTCTCTAGTTAGATCAGTGAGAGAATGGTAGTGTTTTCATTTAGAAGACTTTTGCTAGAATAAATGTTATTTCTGAAACGGTGTATCCTGTTATTTTTACAGTACCGAGGTTATAATATCTGGGTCTACATCATTATGTCGAAAATATTAAGATCCATCACTTCTGGATTTATAAGGTTGACAGCCAGACGGCGTATGAGTTTGCAGTCAAAATATATGCAGGAAGAATTTTGCATACTTGTTGATGAGACCGATTGTGTTTTAGGCTTTGCCAACAAACAAGTAATATTCAAATTTTCTAATTTGTTAGAACTGTCACCAAGTGATTGGCGATAAATGCTTACTTCATCGAGCTTTTAGCTTGTTTCTTTTCCGTCGGGGTACGACTAATGGAAATCCGAACGGCAGTCTTGAGTTACTTATGCAAAAACGTTCCACCAATAAGCCAACATTCCCGTCCTTATGGTCCAACACGTGCTGCAGTCATCCAATCAGAAACTTTCCTGATGAAATGGTCGAATTAGATGCAATTGGAGTGAAAAAAGCTGCCCAAAGGAAAGTGAGTAACCCGGTTCAGTCTTACTTTATGAACAGGCTCTACATGAATTAGGCATAAAAGCAGATTTTTTGCCACTAAGTCGAATAAACTTCCTGGGTCGAGTACTGTATGCAGCAACGAACGAACCATTTTCCCAAAATAAATTTGCTGAACATGAAGTGGATTACATTCTCGTTAGCGTGCTTGATCCAGTGGCGAGTAAGTATAGAAACCCTTCTCTAGGGTGTATTTGTATCCTTTTCTTGTTAATATATTTTTTGAATGGCCACCGCAACCTTTTTGGTTCTCATAACTTTTTTGGACAGGTATAAATACATGGATGTTTGAATGCTTAGAAACGAAAGTAATTCACAGACTACAACTTATTCCTCAAAGTTGTGGTATGAATTAAAGATAATTTGAAGTATAAGCGGGAAACTGATTAACACTCGAACAGGACGTATCGGAACTGCATACCAATCCTAGTAGTCTGACTTTTTACCTGAACAAGATAAGAGAGTCCAAAATCGGTTATCATGAAGACGAAATAAAATGCAAGTATTTCAATTATGATACGAATGTGCCCGCGATACTTTGATCACTTTGGGTTATGTCAACAATGGGTTTCAGTAGTTACATTGTCTTCAATTACATGCGCTTCACTCTGCACTGCAAAAAATGTATTTAAACGCATAAAAAAACTTGGTACAATATGGCACCAAGAAAGATGCGCCACACAATAATAATAAAACAACATAGATCAAAAAGAAAAGGAAGGAAGGAAAAGAAATATATATATAAGTAGAGAACGGATAAAGAACTTCATCTGGAAGGAAAACAGTCATGCTTAACAAGTTCAAACAGTGTTCGTTAACTATCATCGGGAAGGGAAGAAAGAAGGAAATTGCAACACATTCGCCATTGATTACGATTCTTGGCCATATCCGATAACGTTTCGAGCCATCGATTTGAGCTATCTCTCGGACCCCAACCAGGGAGTCGTGACACACCAACCGATGCTAATCTAGCACAAAAATCCTTCATCCCACGACGCCACGTCATGGACTGACCACCTCTCCGCCTTTTCCATCCCGTCCCAGGGCTGGCAGCGAACAGAGACCTGTACGGAAGCCTCTGGGGTGACATTCGCAGCACATGTCCAAGCCACCGGAGCCGGTGTTTCCAGATGACGACATTCAATGAATGGTGATCTCCACTGTGTTCAAACACACGCCGCCGAACCTCAGAATTACTCACGCGATGATGCCATCGAACGCAAGCAATCCTGCGGAGACAGCGGTGATCGAACACGCAGAGTCGCCGCACATCCTCAGCTCGGAGAGGCCAGGTTTCACAGGCGTAGAGCAGCGCAGCCCGCACCGAAGCATTGTATACCCGACCTTTGACAGCCAGGCTAACGTCGCGACGGCGCCAGAGGTGGCTCAAGTTGATGTATGCCACCCTAGCCTTCATTATACGGTTGGAAATCTCATCCGTCACCCCTCCGCCAGCACTCACACAACTACCCAGGTACACAAACTTATCAACAACTTCAAGCGGTTCACCCGCAAGAGTGAGTGCAGGTACAGGCTCCTGCCAATCTTGTAACAGTACTTTGCACTTAGACGGCGCAAAGCACATACCATACTTACAGACACTGATCGCCAACTGATTAAGTGCGATTTGGGCAGCCTGCATGCTATCGCACAGTAAGACGATATCGTCTGCATACTCGAGGTCGAAAAGTCTATCTCCAGGTAGCAGATCTACACCACCTTCACGCACATCCTTCAGAGCTGACTCCAGAATGTCATCGATGGCAAAGTTAAAGAGAAATGGAGAGATTGGGCAACCCTGTCTAACCCCACTGTTGGTTGGGAACAGTGGTGATAGTTGGTTGTATGCCCTCACTCTACCTGAGGTGTTTCTGTATAGGGCTTTCAAGATGTTAACAAATTTCTCAGGTACACCTCTCTCTAACAGACAGTTCCAGAGCACAGTTCTGTCCAACGAATCGAAGGCAGCCCTAATATCAAGAAACACAACGATCGTTGGCCTGCAATACGTGTGGCGGTGTTCCAACAACTGACGAAGGGTGAACACATGATCAATGCATCCACGACCTGAACGAAACCCAGCCTGCTCTTCGCGAATCAATCCTTCACGTATTTTGCACAGTCTGCGAAGCAAGACAGCAGCCAATATTTTAGACGCGACTGGTAACAGACTGATACCCCTATGATTGTCACACGAATTACGTCGACCCTTTTTAAAGATGGGGACGATAATGGCTTCGTTCCACATTGATGGTACACTCTCTGTCTCCCACACCTTCCTGAACAACCCAGTTAGAGCCATTGTGAGAGTCTCGCCACCATCTTTAAAAAGAGCCGGGGGTAATTTGTCTGGGCCGGGCGCCTTATGGCGTTTCAGAACTTGGAGTTCCTTACGGACCTCCGCTTCGGTGGGTGGGTCGGTACTAACCGACCAAGGAGCACTCGGGCTAATGATAGTAGACACTGAAGCTGGTGGCCAGCTGAACTGCTTCCCGAAGTGCTCTGCCCAGCGTTCCAGGCGTCTTTTCAGGCTGGTAATTGGAGTGCCATCTGCCTCACAGACCGTCTCGCTGACACCTTGTTTCTTGCTGCCGGTGGCTCGTATGAGTTGGAACAGCTTCCGACTGTTGCCAGATGCAGCAGCTGACTCCATCTCACACGCACGTTCTGACCACCAGGCTTCGCGGTCCTTACGTAAACACTGTCTAATCTTGCGCGTGAGCGCCTTTCGCTGATTGTTGTATTCGCTGCCAGCCGGAATGGACCGGCGTTCATCCATGAGTTGCAAGGAACTCGCAGAAACCCAGTGGTTGTTAGCGGAGCATTCTTTCAAGCCGCAAGCGGCTACACTCGCCTTTTGCATGGCACCTTGCACATGAAGCCAATGTTCATCTATACTACTTGGGGGGTTGCTGGCAAGCATTGTTTTTAACTCATTCTGATATTTCAAAGAAGTAGCAGGTGCTACTAGTTTGCTCACATCAACGCTTAGACGACGGCTTTTACGAACCCCACCAAATCGCAAGACGAACTTGGCACACACTAACGCATGATCGGAGTCCAGGCATGTGCTCCAGAAGGAGCGACAGTCTTGTATGCATCCTCGCCACCGGAAACTGACCGCAATATGATCAATCTGAGTCCAAGCTTGCTTCGCAGAGGGAGGACGCCAGGTAGCGCTACGGCGATGGCTGTGCCGGAAGTTGGTGCTGGCTAGAAATAGGTTGTGATCCGCGCAAAGCTGCAGAAGACGGTCCCCATTATCTGACCTGCGACCATGTAGTCCCCACTGACCACCTAGACGATTCTCCTCTGAGCTTAGACGCCCAACCTGTGCATTCAAGTCCCCAGCCAGCACTACGATATCCCTCCGACCCGCCTGTTTCAAGAGATCGCTCAGTTGGTAGTAAAACTCATCCTTCATTGCATCCGGGCTGCAATCCGTCGGTGCATAGGCAGAGACAACAAATAGACACCGCCTATCTGGCCTACTACTCCTTACTTTCGTATAACCTTCCAGCCTCACAGCACATAAACGACTGTTAATGGGAATCCAGTCGAGCAGTGCAGCTTCGGCTCTAGCGCTCAGTGCGACACCGACACCAGCTACGCCGGATGCCGACGCCACAGGGTCCCCGGATAAGCGCAGGTGGTACATACTACTAGAACTTCCAGATGGAGAGGATAGTCGAAGCACTTCACTGGGATCTTGAATGCGGGTCTCCGAAATGCAGCAGACATCGATAGCGAGGCTTTCCAAAGTTCTTGCCAACCCTGCCTGTTGTCCGATTTGCATCAGCGTCCGAACATTGTAGGTAGCCAGCTTGAATGCGACAAGAGGTTTCAGGATATCTGTGTTAGATGTCACATTGGGAACAACCATTTTGAGGACTACTCACTAACATCTCGAAACGACACGGATAGGCTGGGAATCTCGACAAAGGCGAAAGGCTGTCGAAGGTTAAGAAGCCAAGGTTAGCAAAGGTAAAATACAGGAAACTATGTATAAAAATAAAAGTAGGTAGGAAGGAAATAAGTTGCTTGAGGGATCAATATTGCTTGGAATCATTTTACTAGCGCGCGTTGAGTTTCAATGAGAGTTCGTTGCTTTAATTCATTCATTGTGTGCGGGCTGAGATACTGCCCGGGCGCCCAGACCGAAGCAGGTGGTTTTATTAAGGGACCACCCCCGAGCCTTTGACTTGGAGTCTAATCCGCAAGGCAGCAGAGCAGCGTCAGGAGCTGCATTCCCATGGTTTCCGGTGACCCACATGGGTTCATACGCCATTTGATCCGATTGGATACTGGAGCCCATGTACCCCATGGTAACTGCTTTTAGTTTAACCGCTATCCAGAAAACCTCCCTGACATGGTAGGACCTGTAGGTCCCAGTCAGTTCAGCTTGTTGGGTCATTGCGGTATTCTTTTTTTTATGCACTGCAAAAAACACTGGTGAAGTATTTTATGAATTGCTAACCAGTGTTCATCAGGGATACTCACTGTCCCCATTTCCCTATAATTTTGTCGTAGATGTACTAGTGGAATTAACTCTGTCTTAGATTACTTGAGGATTCACTAGTTACCAGAGTACAGCCTTTTCGATTTAGAATATGCAGGTGATATTGTCCCTCTAGGAGAAAACACTGACAAAACGCAGAGTCTTCTGAACATCTTGAGCAGAAATCTTCGAATGTTTGGCATGCGATTCGCCCTAGTTGAAAGTAAGACGATGGAGCAGGACTGGTCTGCACCGACTCCTAGTTTAAAGATAGGCAGTGAAGGAAGTTGTAGGGCGTAATGATGACCACTTCGCTTATTTGTCAAGTTGCATCGGCCAAAATCAACTGATTACTGAAGAGATCTCACCACGGATACAAAAGACTCGTGTGGCACTTTTCCAACTCATGTCATCTCTGGTGTAGACGTGATGTCCGGCTATCGACCTAAGGACGTGTGTAGTACTGTGCAGGATTTCCCCCTCTCCTGCTTTGTCGTTCTGATACGTGGCTGTTGAATGTGAAAGACCTGGAAAGGCTAAGCGTCTTTGACCGCGGATGTTCGCCTTCTATCTCCCGTGTTAAGGCGGTATGACATGGTGAGTAATGTCGAGATTGGGCGTGGACTGATAGGTAAGGAGGGGAGGTGAGTCACTGAGATTGTGAAGCTACATCGATTGAGATGGCTAGGACACGTGGTGCTCATGACGAGTTGCCAGCTCCCTCGTCGAGAAATCTTAGTTTACATAGGGTTGGGTTGGAAAGGAGTTAGTGGTAGTCAAACCAAAACCTGTCGTCAATCCATGAAGTCTTCGACAGTTGGTTGAACCGCATAGTCAGGTGTAGATTGCTTGGTTGCGGTCGTCGAGATGCTAAGAAGCAACGACTGGATACCGTTGGTGATGTGGTTCAAAATTGTTCTCAGTGCCACAGATGCATTCACTTTTTGTAATCTGACGTATCCAATTAAACTATATTGGTTTTCCCTGCTGCTGTTCTTCTTTCGTCACATATCTCCTTATTGTCGTCCTTTCGGATCGGTTTTTTCTTTTTTATCTTCCTTTGTATGCCAGATGGAGTGTTGCAACGCGAACTGCTGCACATCTGTGCAAAGTTATGTTAGGACCAGTCAGTCGTTTATATATTGCTGTTATCCTTTTGTTTGGATAACCGTCATATTCCATCAACGTAATCGTACTTCTACCGCTCCTTCTGGAACACGTGCGTAGACTCCGACTACGCCCTGGTTCGCGCATCTTTATGCTTACGACTAAATGGACATAAAAACTTTGACAGTGAAGTAGTTGTGTTCCCAAATAGCCTAAGATACTGGGTACCTATTCAAGGGTAAAATAGAGAGACGAGTATCTGAGATGGACAATATGACTCCTGATAAAGAAGCCTGGCACAGCATAAAGTTAGCTGTAGGTACAGCTGTTATTAACATATTGGTTAGCGTAGTGTTAAAGAAGAAGAGTAAGCTAAGCGTTAACATTAATTGCCTGCGTTGAATGAGTTGGTTAGGACTCATGTATGCATAAAATACTACCTCCTTCCTTGTGCAATGTTAGCTTACGTGAAATATAGTTAAAAGAGTTAGAGGTGGTCAAATGAAAATATGGCTTCAGTTCTTGAGGCTTTTGATTTCTGTGATGAGGAGATGTAGACTGTTTTACAGGGGTCGTCGGGACTCTAAAAACTAGTAGTTGGAGACTTAGTGATATCGGTCAAACCGTTCTAAATCGCACAGATTCCTTCACACTTTGGCATCTCCCAGATTCATTGAATTCAAAGTCTTTATATGCTTATTATGGTGTGTCTAAGGAACAGCGGTAGAATGTTCTCCAACCAAGCATGTGGTCCTGTTTCCGTCACCGGACGGACTGCTTTACCTCACTAAGCCAGTAATAAGACTGGTAGAGAGAGTTATGTTGGACATGAGACTAGCAATCCCATCCCGTAAAAATAAACACGACTGCTACCGAAGCTTCAAGCCTCTCGCTTGAAGCCCTGTGTTCCACTAGGAATGTAAAGGAATAAAAAATGCTGTACATTTCTGTTCATTATAATTTTTTTCGGAATTTTCCTCTACTTTCGTGTAGCATATGGTGTGGTAACTTGGATCGTTGCATTTGTTTGCGAAGTTCTACGTTGCAAATTGTCTCATTCAGTCAGTTTTTAAATGTCTTATAAAGAATGAGTATCGTATTTATATACCTGCAACTGTAGGTGAAACTAGCTTATTTCTCTTGAATGGTTTGTTTGTTAGATTTGGTTAGCTAAAGCTTACGATTTTCGAGTAAACTAGTTGCCCACTGTTGTTGTGCCTTACTTATTTCGGTCTAGATAACTATTTAGTACTGTAATGTCTCTGACTTGAAGCATCTCGCAGCTTGATACATGAACACAAATTTATACAGAACAACTAGATTGCGGAATTCGTTAAACTTGTGTCTTTTCAGTGTAAAAATTGGATGAGTCAAGGAGTCACAGGTTTAAACTATAGTCTACTTAATGATATCTTAAAAATGAAATAGTATCACCAGTCAGAACTCAGCAAAAGTAAAGTATGCACTTAAGTAACAAGTCTCACCATTTATTTGCCTCACAACATAAGGATAATCCAGCGATTATCTTTGTCGTGGGATTTATCTTTTATAAATTTATTGTTTTTTGATTAAATATAAACAGTCGTTTTCACTTTGAATTCTGATTGCTTCCACACAGCACAAAATACAAATACAAATTTACTAGAAGTTAATCCTGATGAAGTAAGCGATGTGCGTTGGGTGTCTTTGGACGAATTTGAAAGTATGGAACATTTCTCACCAAATTATACGAACTTATCGCCAACTGCAAACGCTTACTTGTGTAAATCGAATATCACACCCTGGTTACGTGGTCTTCTTACAAGTGGACTTCTACGAAAACTATGGAGTTGGGCAGAAGCATCATGTAGTGATCAATCACAAGGGCGTTTCCTAATCGAAGATAATTTTTGGGATCGAAATAGGATAATACATTTATCTGCTAAGGATGTACAGTAATGCATATCATCCAAATCTTCTTTTAATATAACTTTTCACGAATTTGTATTTTTTGTATCTCAGCATGTGTGTTGTTCGCTTGTTCCTTTTATTTGGCAGTTCATGTTTGGCTTGTAATATCATCAGTGTTTATACCCCTTTCATATATCTCGTCTAGGTCAATCTTTTTCAGTTACGTTTCTATCACTGAAATATCAGTGCACTAAAATATGATGGTGTTTACACCTCTGTCTGCACTGCAGATGAATATTCCAGTTATTTGATTGAGAAAATATTTGTTAGATACAATCACCCAAAAGTTACGCGTTTTGGTATACTCTTATCATGATATTTGTCCAAACAAATTTGTTTGCATATAACGTAAATTTTCCGTCGAAATAGATTCAAAGAATCGCTTTTACATTGAATAGATTTCATGAAAGCGCACAGTGATACGGTATTATTTACTGATAAATTCGTTTCCAGTACAATTTATTACTCATAATCATATCAAGGCTTTTCTGTTCAAATTATATTCTCAAATGTGAGAATAACTGACATTTCATTTTATATATATTTATATTTATCTATACTAAGTTTGTGTAGTAGTTATCGGAATTGAAATATATAATTATTGTAATATGGTTTGATAAAGAGGTTCAGGATATTCATAGGTATATCTCCTTATGTAGAATATTACTGAAGATACTAGAAATATCATTCAAACTAACAGTTAATGGGGAAGGAAGTCTATCGATTATTTAATTTTTATTTTATCTTTGATTACACCGGAATGATGAGTGTTTTAGATTGATTACCACATTCCAAATTGACTGTTACAGTTCAGTCAACACCATTAAAGACTAGATACATGACTCTGCTTACTCTCTAGTGTCCAGTTATTATAACATCTTAGTTCAAATGTTGGATTGATGAAAAATGTTTACCTTTTATGGGACTGGCTGAAGATGGTTAGTTCAGTAGAATGTAAGTTGGTGTCACGGGGAAATATTATTCGTTTTACCATAGTAAAATGCTGTTTTAAAATGAATTCTAATTATTTTAATATGAACAGCTAACTAGAATCTTTCAAATGAATATATATTTGTTTTACCGTGTATATAAAGTATTCAGTGTGCCTGGCAAAACTCAGTACTGTATAATAATTCGTTACCACCGTTTTCCTGCTAAATGGAATACATACATCTATTGAGAACTCAATTATCACCTCACCAGCTCTACTTTGAAAATATAATATACACTACAGTGATTTTTGTTCATATGCCGCACAAAATAGTTGAAATCGGAAAATACCTGGACAGTTGTGTGTATTTGTCCTAAGATTTCACCAGTAATCACTACACAATAGCTGATGTAAATTGTTGAGTAAGTGAAGTGGTCAACACGGTTTTCATCTCCTGTCCTTCAACTAGCATAAGTTTACTTTCTTCAAGAGCTAATTGAATCCCAAGCATCCAGAGCAGTGCATTTTGTCAGCGTTTTCATCTAAAGAGACTACATTCTAATTCAGATGTCACTGTGGTAACAAAACCGTTCTTGAAATGTTGAAATCTACTGAAGTCACTTATCAGCATGGTCTCAATAAAATTACTTCTCTCTGTTTTCGACATAGAATTTTGCACCGATATGCAGCAGTTCAAGTCGCTACACTCCCTCCATGTAGTACACAGAGTAAGAGAAGAAAGTACAAGAAATGCATAATAATGACAGTAAACAGAGGTGTGAGACAAAGGAATACTAATAACGAAGAACGATATAGTTTTATTTGAAATCATAAGTCACAAGGAGTGGATGCATCTGCGCCAACCATTGACAGCGATTTTGAGCCATATCGCCAATTGTTTCCAGCCATTGGTTTTTACCGTCCCGAGGACCCCAACCAGGAAGTCTACATCTTCCTATGTGACTGGTTGGCTTAAACTAACTGTTGTGGACTTTATTGACTGGTGCCATGTGTTTGGTTTGACCGCCGCTAGCTCTTTCCCAGCCTGACCCTATGTCAGCTAAGATTGACTGTCGAGGAAGGCGAAGACTAGGCATACGTTACACATGTCCTAACCATCTCAATCTGTGTAACTTCACAGCCTCGTCGATTGATTTCCCCTCCTTACCTAGCACTCGACCGACGCCTTACCTCAATATTGCTCACCTTATAATACCACTTCACACGGAGATAGAACTCAGGCACCTATGATCAAAGACGGCTAACTAGCCTTTTTATGTCTTCCAATCTTAATGGCCAAGTCTCACTCACAGCCATAAAGGAGGATGGAGCGGACTGCTGAGCAGTACACGCGCTCTTTGGTCGATAGCCGGATATCACATCTACGCCAGAGTTGGCGTAAACTGGCATATGTGAAACTAGCCCTCTGTATCCGTGCTGAGATTTCGTCAGAAATCGACCCGTTGGTGCTGATGGTACTTCCCAAATAGGTGAAGCGGTCAACGTTCTTTACCATTTCACTCTCTATTTCTAAACTGGGAGTCAGTGTAGTCCAGTCCGGTAACATCATCTTACATTTGGCAGGAGCGAATCACATGCCAAACATTCGTAGATTGTTGCTCAAGGTGTTCAGAAAACTCTGCATTTTGTCATCGTCCTCACCTAGAAGGACTATATTGTCTGCATATTCTAGGTCAGCGAGATTATTCCCTGGTAACATGTCCATCCTTGAGTCTCTGAAGTCATTTAGGGTTAAGTCCATTAATACATCTATGATGAAGTTGAATAGAAATGGGGATAATGGGCATCCTTGACGAACATCACTAGTCGTCACCAGTTCAGATGACAACTCGCCGTAAACCCTCACCTAGCTGCATGAGTACGAGTAGAGTGCCTTAATCAGTGCAATGTATTTTCTCTGCATTCCCTTCACAGACAAACATCACCATAGTCCCTCACGTTCGAAGGAGTCGAATTCCGCTTTCAGGTCAAGAAATATGACTAATGTTGGACGCCGGTAAGTATGTCTATGTTCCAGAATCTGTCGAAGGGTGAAGATATGATCAGAACACCCTCTTCCTGGTCTAAAGCCTGCCTGGATCTCTCGGGTTTGTGCCTCCAGAGCACCACTTAGTCTACGCCATATTATTGAGCCTAGGACTTTGGATACTAGATTAGTCAAGCTAATCCCTCTGTGATTATCACAGGAAGACTTCTTTCCCTTCTTGTATATGGGGATAACCAGTGACTTACTGTCTGTCTGTCTGTCTGTTTTCGACATAGAACTTTGCACAAATGTGCGGAAGTTCAAGTCGCCACATTCCACTCCTTGTAGCACGCGAAGCAAGAGAAGAAAATACAAGAAAAGCATAATAGAAACAGTGAGCAGAGGGGTGAGACAAAGGAGTAATAAAGAAATACAAAACAATTTCATTGAAGATCATAAGTCACAGGGAGTGGATGCATCTGCGCCACTGAGAACGATTTTGAGCCATGTCACCAATTGTTTCCAACCATAGATTTTTGCCGTCCCGAGGACCCCAGCCTGGAAGTCTACACCTTCCTACGTGGCTAAGACCAATCCAACATCATGACCAGTGACTTACACCAACCCGACGGGACTTCCTCTGATACCCAGACCCTGCCTAGTACCCTACTTTAATACCTGTCGAGTCATTCCATCAGGTCCTGCTGCTTTGTCTTGTTTCAGACTAGTGACAGCTTTACTAACCTTAGTTAGGGCCGGAGGACCTGTGTCAATATCCTACTCAGAGAGATGTTGGATGTTCGGCAGGTTGAGTGTGGCTGTAGGCCAATTAAACTGCTCCTCATAGTGTTCTTTCCAGCGTTCCAGTCCTCTATCCTGGAAGCTAATTATGGTGTAATTTTCTCAGAGATTGTTTCACGTATCATTTGCCTTTCACCACCTGTTTCTCTGACAAGTCTAAATGGTTGTCTGGCGTTACCTATCACCGATGCCTTTTCCATCTCTTTCGCTTATGTCGCTCACCAATGGTCATGGTCGTTTCGGAGGCTTCTTGTTGGTTCGCGTTTGAGCAACTTTCGCTCCTCATTATAATCAAAGCTCGCCGGAATCAGTCTTCTTGCGTCAGTCAGCTCGGATGAGGTGGTAGAAATCCAATGGCTCTTATCAATTCTAGGTTTCAGGTTATTAGCAGCTTTTACAGCTGTGTCTATAGCTATATCGTAGAGATTCAAGCTAACTATATGTTGTGCCAGGCTTCTTCAGGAGGAGTCCTGCTGTCGACCTGAGATACTCGTTTCACTATTTCTTCCATAAATAGGGACTCAGAGTCTCGATATAGTTAGGGACGCAACTGCTTCACTGACAACACTTTTTTATGTCCGTTTGATGGTAAGCGTAAACGTGCGCGAACCAGGGCGTGATCAGACTCTACGCACGTTGCAGAAGGAGCGGCAGTCTTCTACTGACCCTCGCCAACGATACCCTATGGTTATGTGGTCTATCTGTGTCCAGTGTTGATTTGGTGATGGAGATCGCCAATGTCTCTCTTCGTGCTTAAAGTTAGTGGTGACTAGAAACAGATGATTATCTGGACAGAACTGTAGAATATGGTCACTGTTGTCGATTCGTTGACAGGTGCCATCTCTCAGTCTGGCATAACCTCCCTACTTGGGCATTGAAATCTCCCGCTGAAACAACTATACGTGGGCTTTTTGCAGTAAACTTGACACTTTTTGGTATAAATCATTCATCAGTTCATCGGAACTGCAGGCAGTTGGAGCGTAAGAGAAGACCATGGAAAGGAAACGACTGGTAACGCCGTCCTTCTTTCTTCTGGCGGAACCATTCAGACAGACCGTACACATACGACTACCTACTGGGATGCAATCAATAAGTGATTTTTCTGCCTTAACACTCAATGCTATCCCTACACCTGCGTGTCTTCGCGAACTAGCTTAGGGGTCCCCTGACACCCTTAAAGTGAATTTTGCAGATTCACCTTGTTGACCGGGTGAGGTTAAATGAATAACCATACTCGGATCTTGCATGCGTGTCTCCGAAACACAAGATACATCCATGGCCCGAGCTGTCAGAGTTCTTGCTAGTGATGCCTGTTGTCCAATTTTGGCAGAGGGCCCTGTCGTTGAAAGCTATATAAAGTTGGTAACGTGGCTTTAAGATGCTGTTGTTGCTCGTGGTCACAGGGTGAAATGAAGATGACTGGCTTGTCTGAAGAATAGTACTGACTGTAGTAGGGGGGAGGTGAAAGGTGATGTGGGTAAGGGAGAATGATGCTCAGCAATGCTTCGCGAGCGTTTGGAAGTATATGGGCGGTTGTTACTTACCGGCTGCCTACACCGTGGAAGTTGATTAATTCTTCGGGTACCTGAAACAGAGAGAGGGTTAGTTTTGCTTGACTGCAGAGCCCACGGGACAGCTGCTTGAGGCCGGTCACACATAGCCTATATGAACTGGTTTCTTGGATTGTTTCCATATTAGTAAACTTACCGCCGGTTACGGACCACCGTAGGGTAGGTCGGGATGTACAATTTTTCGGGTCGACCTTTCCTAACCCCCACCATTCGGAGTAGAGATACAGCATAGCTGGCATGCTGTCCACCTGAGGGAAACACCTTACTGCTGTTACATCTCTGTTCCCCAGCAGTACGACTTTGCTCACAAATCCCCAGTGTAGTGTAAAATAATTCTTACACTATGCTGGTAACTACTTTTAGTCTAATCGGTATCCTAACAATCTTCCTGTCATAGTAGGACCTGCAGGAACAATTGTCCCATCCAGTGTAGCTTGTTGGGTCATTGCGATATTCATACCCGACCACCACGTCAAGGTAGCAGCTATCGGTCGTGGAAATGAAATTACTTAGGATTAGTGACATTGAACAGTCATGAAAAAAACTGTCGTCATTTCGCGGTGACAACTTTTCATAAGCTCCCAATCGGCTCCATTTACTCTACATGATTTACATGTTCATAAACACACATTTCCCGGTTAAACATAGGTTCAATACCTAAATCGAATTCTTCATTGAAGTGTAAAAATGTAATATATTCGCTCCTTAATATACCATGAAGTGAAAATGTGAAAAATGAATCATTCAGATCTGAAATGTGCTTGGTTTACTCAGACTTGTTTTTCTAGAGCTTAATTTGGTTTTTGTATAGCTATGGACTTCAGTGTAGCATTATTAGTCAAACTCATTCCTGTGTGTATATCACAGATAAACATTGCAAATAATTCCCGATTTAAAGTCCTGGAATACTTGTAGACACTTTGATTTTGATGTTTCAGATATACTACCTTTTTGTTATTTCAGGTTTTTAAGTGTAATCTGCATGCTCTATGATTACTGAAAGTGCGCCGTTCAAACCAACAGCAACGTCGGGCGTTGATGGCAGTCGCACAACTAACCCAATTCAAAATAACCCAACAGCATCGTCAGGCGCAGTGCCTTCAAGTTCCTCTAATGCAAATGGTGCACTCCTAAGTAATCTTTGGACTCAACTTGATCACATACAGCCTACGGTAAATACTTCGTATTATCAGTGGATATTTTATTTATTCACTATAGTATAGAAATTTAGTATATATATATATTCTGACAGGTGATTAGTTTTTCAAATACGATTGTTAGTGATTTTAGTCAGCATTGTCCCCTCAATGTGTGATGGAGTTTTACTTTTTTGAATTACCTAAACGGTCAGGTCTACAACAGTGGTATTAAATGAACGCTATTTCTTACCGATACTTTTTGAAACCTTACTTTAAACTATTGCTCTGTTTACTTATCTATCATATCTGTTACTATTTTGTGACAAGCTCTTCATAGGCACTCGATATTCTTCAGTACTAATTTGATCATTCGAAGTATGTTTAGGACACTGTAAACGTTTTCAACAGATTATTCGTGTTCTTTGATTTTCAGTTTTGTGATATAATACAGTTTCTTTTATATATTATCCGATACTACTTTTGTTCTTCCCTTTAATTTTAGATCCCTGACAGGTTGTCGGTTGCTATATTAGAGGGTGCTGGTGTACAAATGGAAAACAGTGATCCACGACTCGCACGTCTAGTTAGTCTTGCTGGTCAAAAGTTTTTGACTGATATCCTTTCTGATGCTATGCTCCATTGGCGACTTGCAAATGGACAACCTACTGGTCTACTTAATCATCCCGGTAGTTCAGCGTCATCTGTAGCGGGTCAAGTGTCCACCACATCATCAGCTGCCAGTCAAAATCAACCTGTTCCACAATCACCATCGTCAAGTAAGTGCACTTTTAGAAGCGATGGAAAAGATTTGTAACTCAGGTGGATGTTATTAGTGGAGCTGTGTTCTCTGCCGTATTGTAGTTGCATTTGTTTCACATTCTAGAGAACACGACTAAACCCAGTGCCCTTTTATATAAACTGTGATCATGATTTCACCGGAGCGCTGAGTGAGAAGTAGACATTTATAAAATTGTATTTGTAAAATCCCAGCGAAATTGAAATGATTAATTCGAACGTTTCGTTCGACAATATGGTCCGAACTTCTTCAGGAAAATTAATCGAAATTAACATAACAAAGGTTTATATATAAAAGGGACATCTCTTGTTTTTAAAACTTTGTCCAATCATGAGCCATGCAACAGGTATCAACATGTATAATAAATAAATAAAATTGTATGTTTATATATAAAAGTACATCTCTTGTTTTAAATTGTTTGTCCTGTCATATGAATCAAGAAACAGCTATCAGTAGGTATACTAAACAAAACAAAACAAAAATTGTATGACTATGATCAAAAATTTGACCTCAGACTTACAAAATTTGTCTACTTTTGTTAAAAGTCAATCTGAACGAAGAATATTCTTTTCAATGATTTCTCTTCAGGTTCTTACAATTATAAAATATAATATTTGTGGTCGTTACAATAAAGGCCAGTTATGCGGCGGATACATTTTTTACGTAGAATAACAGATTAGTTATGGGGTGTCAAAATAAATAGTCATATTTGTGTGACAAACGTGCTAGGCTGAAATCGATTAGAAATATTGTAAAACAGGAGACAATGGTGGTGATTAATCAATCATAATAGAATTGTAGAGTGTGGGGTAGGAAAATTGACAAATCAGTTCAAGGTTATAAAAGGTGTCAGGTGAGTGGTTAGTACAAAGTGGTCTGAGTTAAACAGATGAGATAGTAAGACTGGAATGAGAGGTTCATAATGAGATAACGAATATGTTAAATGAAACAGGTGGAGGCATATAGTAAGAAAACAGATAATATCACTAATAATAAATCAGTATAAATGAAAAATTCGATAGTATTGAGGGAATGTTTGCATAAAGGGCATAAATTATGACGAATAATAATAATAACTGTAATAATAGTATTTTTAATAATAAGCAAAGTAAAAAAAGAAAGAAACACTTCCTCGACGTCCTACTAACGAGAAGAGACGATGGTTCTATCAAAAGAACCATATTTAGAAAGCTAGAGACCAAAGCTTAGTATACACACTTCCTTAGCTTCGTACCGAGGAAATACAGACGTAATCTAATCAGGTGCTTAGTATTTAGGGCGATGTTTATTTGTTCCGAAGACTGCGTAGAGAAAGAACTCCAGGTCATCCGAGACATTCTAAGCGAGAATGGATATCCAGAGAAGTTCATTAAAGCCAACATAGATTACAAAAGTCGTCAACATGAACTGGCAACTGTGGAGAAAAGCCTTTGTTTTTACGTCTTCAATTCAAGGGAGATACTCCTGCGGAGATTCTATCCTAACATTTAACCGGGGTGATCGAGAAAACTTTCTACTCTGCACGTCTGTGTGTATCCTTCACTAGCCGTCCACTGTTCACCCAGCAACTCAAAGATGTCTTACCTAAACTTAGTTTTTCATGCACATACGATTTCATCTGTTCCTGTGGTTCAAGCTATATAGGGCGCACGATTAGGCAGGTTCTGTTTTCTTACTATATGCCTCCACCTGTTTCATTTAACATATTCGTTATCTCATTATGAACCTCTCATTCCAGTCTTACTATCTCATCTGTTTAACTCAGACCACTTTGTACTAACCACTCACCTGACACCTTTTATAACCTTGAACTGATTTGTCAATTTTCCTACCCCACACTCTACAATTCTATTATGATTGATTAATCACCACCATTGTCTCCTGTTTTACAATATTTCTAATCGATTTCAGCCTAGCACGTTTGTCACACAAATATGACTATTTATTTTGACACCCCATAACTAATCTGTTATTCTACGTAAAAAATGTATCCGCCGCATAACTGGCCTTTATTGTAACGACCACAAATATTATATTTTATAATTGTAAGAACCTGAAGAGAAATCATTGAAAAGAATATTCTTCGTTCAGATTGACTTTTAACAAAAGTAGACAAATTTTGTAAGTCTGAGGTCAAATTTTTGATCATAGTCATACAATTTTTGTTTTGTTTTGTTTAGTATACCTACTGATAGCTGTTTCTTGATTCATATGACAGGACAAACAATTTAAAACAAGAGATGTACTTTTATATATAAACATACAATTTTATTTATTTATTATACATGTTGATACCTGTTGCATGGCTCATGATTGGACAAAGTTTTAAAAACAAGAGATGTCCCTTTTATATATAAACCTTTGTTATGTTAATTTCGATTAATTTTCCTGAAGAAGTTCGGACCATATTGTCGAACGAAACGTTCGAATTAATCATTTCAGTTTCGCTGAGGTTTTACAATGCACTTCTATTGGTAATCCGTTATTAAATACTTACGACATGGTACTGCATTTTAATAGTCTAGGTTTAGGCTTTAATCTACAGCAACAATTTTAATCATACTACTTTTTTGTATATTGATTTCAGATGCGAGACCTGGAGCAAATAAGTTCCCTGCTGATCGTCGTGCTACTCTTACACTAGAGGATTTAATTGCTTCGTTAAATGACAGAGGCATTCATATCGCCCGACCACCTTATTACCGATAGGTTGAGTCTGATGAAGGATATCCTTTGAGTTTATTTTCTTACTAACATAACTATTAAGCATTGATGTAAATTTTCATTTTCGTTGTTACCTTTCTGTTGCTTCTTTTGTGCTCACCAAGTATTATGAGTAGTCTTCTCAAATTTATTAACTCCTTCTTGACATCTATGTGCTCATCGTCAGCAATAAATTTTCGAGTATCAACTATTTATTTTGACAAACCATTTGTGTATTGTGTTCAAAATAAAGTAGAATAAATGTTTTATCTTCCTTTTCTGTATTTGTCGCGTTATTGAAGGGCATGAGAGGAGGCACATTGATCCTCTGACTTACTAGTACTGTTTCCTCTAATTCCTAGAGGAACATAGGGCTTCAGCTGCGCGTCTCCATTGCCTTCTGTCTTCTGCCAACTTTTTCAACCCGCTCCAAGTCTGCCCACATGCTTTCATCTCCTCTACACATAACCTCCTCCAAGTCACCCTTGCACTGACGACCAACTCGCAGACCGCTTCCCTTTCGGGTTCCACTCGAGCGATGGCTTGTCTAGTGATGTCACTTGATGGTTTCCTCAGAGTATGGCCAATCCATCTCCATTTCTTCCTGCCTATTTGTTTCACAGTCGGTTCCTGGTTGGTTTGCTCATTGCCAGAGATCCCTGTTGCTGATCTTTTCTGGCCGGCCATCTGATCTTGAGTATTGAGCGGAGACAGCTGTTAATGAAGGTCTGAAGTTTGTTTGAGATGCTCTTTATGACTCACCAAGTCTCTGATCCGTATAGTAGCACTGACTGACTTTACATTGGAGTTGAAAATCCGGATGTTATTTTTGATTCTGAGTGTTGTTGACGTCCACACAGACTTAAGAGTAGTGAAAGCTTGTCTTGCTTTTCCGATTCTGGCTTTGATATCCTCGTCAGTTCCTCCTGTAGTTGAAACGATGCTTCCCAGGTAGGCGAAGGACGTTGTTTCTTTCAGGTTCCTTCCACTTATGCTGGCTGATTGTTGTCTGTTGTTGTTATTGGTGGTGTTGGCCAGGAATCTTCATCACCTCTGTTTTCTCTATGTTCACCTGGGGGAAGTCCTATCTTTGATGCTTCTTCTGCCAACTTGTTGCTTTTCACTTGCATATCTTCCAGTTTGTGGGAAATCAGATATATATCATCGGCGAAGTCCAGATCCTCCATGTATTTTTGGCGTGAGTCCATTTTATGCCTCTATCCTCATTGCCCGTTGTCTGTCGCATTATCACATCTACTGCAATCAGGAAGATCATTGGTGATAGTAGACAGCCTTGCCTCACTCCCGTCCTCACTTCGAAGGCTTCCGTAAGTTTCCCGTTGTGGATTACTTGGCATGCAGCATTGTCGTATAACTGTTGGATGAGATGTATAATTGTCGATGGTGATCCTCTGACTTATCACTTTGATATGCAGGTTGGGGTTATGTAACAATTTACTTTTGTCAAAATTAATGAGAAATGTGACAAGTATATTTTTTGTGTAGAATATATACATATATATATATATATATATATATGAATATATCTTCGACTTCATGCAGCTGCGATGGTTACTGCACACTGGTTAAGATTCTGACACTGATGCGGAACTCTAATACGGCAACCAGCAAGTTTATTTAATCCAGATGCACACGGTTTATCAGCTAGTGTTCTAGCATGTAAGAACAGTCTCATATTTTTCATGGCCAACTGACAGCTACTGCATTAACTTCTTTGTGGAACTTCTTTATTGCAATGACCCAACAAGCTACACTTACTGGAACGGATGACGCTCCTACTGTGCTACTAAAGTCACACTAAAAGGAGTTGCCACCATTAGTGTAAATTGCCCACGCTGAGCTGGTGGTCTGAGGGTGAAGTCATACTTCCGAGATATAGAAATGTAATTCAGCTGTGCTACATTTCCGATAATGAGGTCAGGACTCGAAGGCTTTGGTACAGAAAGTCGTACACTGCAACTTTTGTTGTGGTGAAGGCAGATTCGTTGAGACATACATACAAGACCCCAGCTGGTTGCCCACTCAATACCTCAGGGCAACATGGTGAGTCTCAGAAATTCATTGTGGTTGCCAGGATGTTCTTCGGCCACTTTGCAGCGACTCGCTGGAGTAAAACTTAGGTAATTGATGGAATCTTTGCTGTCTCACAGGTTCTGGGAGATAGATGCATTTACCGATATCCGACCTTTGCCTTCCTTTTTTGACTTCAAGGCAGCGTTCGAGTCAGTTTGTCGAGAAGCGCTACGGCTCTGTTTGGCCGTGAAGGAATCGCCAAGGAGATGTATTGTACGAGTTAGGCTTCTTTACTTGAATCATGGTAGCCCTGAAAGAGCATATGAAGAGTCATCATGTTCAGTGATAAAAACTAGTGGTCTCCGTCATCAATGGTCACTGTCACCATTCTTATTTAATTTCATAGAAGACTTCCTTATGGATTTAATACCGAACGGCTTTTATTTTCTTACATTTACTTGTTACTAGCGATAGTCCTTTTTGATCTAGAACTCGAAGGTGATGTGGTCCTTTAAGGTGTTTTGCGCGAAATTCTCCCATATCATGCTTAACGTGATTGTTTCAGGACTGGTCTACATCAACTGGTAGTTTCAGTTATTGGAGATAAATGGTTGGATGTGCTGTTAACTTTATTTATTTGGGGGTTCGCATCAGCTTTAATGGACCGATTTTTGATGAAATCTTGCCATGGATCCAAAAGGCTCGTTTGATATTTGCCAGCATGGATCATCTTAGGTGGGAACTATTTTAATTTGAAATGCTGAACTCTTGTACGAAATTCTACGATGAATATTCAGATTAAAAGTGTGGTTGCTGATTCAGTTCTTTAAGGGTTATGACAAATTGAGGAGTATTCAGAAACAGGTGAACTAGCATTCGTTTCCTCTCTAAAGATGAAGGTGCTAGATGTTTAGAAAATGCGTACTCTGGTAAAAGCGGTTTGGAGTATTGGTGATGTGCTATTTCTGAATAACTTTGTGTTACGTATGATCAAATAGTGCACTGAAGTCAATAATATATCTTTTGAAGTGGGCTGTTAATGTGGTGGTGTGATACAGAAAATGTGTTCCAATGGAATATTATTCTCACATATTCCCAAGTTCAACACTGCATTAGCAACAGAATTTGTTTGTTTATTCATTGTTCCCTGGGGTTCCGAGTAGAACATAGGGCTTCAACAACACCTCCAATTTCTTCTATTTTCTCCCACCCTCTTCAGCTGAGTCCACGATTGACCATAGTCGACCATTTCTTCCTCGAACGATCTCCACGTCACCCTAGAACAACCCACTCGTCGATTCCCATTTGGATTCCACTCGAGCGATGGCTTGGTACGCGATGTCATTCGACGGTTTCCTCAATGTACATCCGATCTATCTCTATTTGCTCCGACATATTTGTTGAGCGATCGGCTCTTGGTTGCTTTATCTCCGGCCAGAGTTTCTTGCTGATAATTCTTTCTTTCCAGCCGACCATTTGATCTTCAGTATTGAGCAGCCAGGGAAGTGGGCAGCTGTTGAGGAATGTCTGCAACCTCTTGTAAATCCTTATCGTGACACGCAGTGCAAGTTTCAGGCCCGTGTAGGAGCACCAACTTGACATTGGTGTTGAAATTCCGGATCTTGTTCCTCGTGCTGTGTTACCGCATGTTTTCAAACTGATTTCAGGTTGATGAAGGCGTATCTTTCCTTTCCGATTCTGACTCTGATATCTTCATCCGTGCTGTATAGCTGTGGGTTGATAAAGTACTTCCTAGATAAGTGAAAGAGGCAATCTCTGTTAAATCTCTCCGTTGATGGTGATTAGTGTTGGCTATTTCGGTTCATTGGTTATCTTCATCACTTCTGTCTTCTCTATGTTCACCTGCAGTCCTGTCTTCGCTGCCTGCCAGTTTGTTGTTTTTCGCCTGCCTGCCTGCAAGTCTTCGAATTTGTGTGATATTAGAAAAATGTCATCTACGAAATCCAGATCTTCTAGAGTCTTCTTATCGGTGGTCTAGCGTATTTCCGTCTTCTCACTCCCCACAATCTGATGCTTAATCCAGTCCACCGTAATCAAGAATACCATTGGTGGTAACAGGCAAGCTGCCCTGCCTTACTCCAAAGGAACAATAATAATAATTGTGTTAACTGTCATTCCATGTCATCTAATTTCTTTTACCTGGGTATTAATCCTATTTCCTGAAGTATAGTTCGAGATATGTATTATCTAGCGTACAGTAGGAAGTCTGGTAACTGTTGGGAAACCTGGAGTTATTCAAATACTCTGTGTTGGTAGGATTATGCTGAAAAATATGGAGGCGTTCGATAAATTTTAGAAATCACTAGCTCCTAAAATCCACAGAATAATTAAATTCTGAATACTTTAAGCGATATTTCAAAAAATATATTATTGAGTGATAGGAGGGTGACATGACCGATGCAACTACTGAATAATATTACCATTGTTCTGTAGTAGGCTTCTGTGTCTTTTTTGCTAACTATAAGTAGTATTGACTTCGTTGATAAAGAAACATGATGAAAAGATATTTTTAAACTTTCCCATCCAATTCATTTAAGTTATTGTTTACTGTTTTACCTTGTTGTCAACGTTCTTGACGCTGTTATTATTGGTTTTACTCCCTCTCAGACTTAATGTCTTCTTGAGTGGAAAAAAAGGATGTCATTATTAACTTCAAAGCGTATTTTCGTACTTTACATTTGACTACTCGCAAGTAGCCCACGTGTTTTATAAACAATTATAATATTCTAACTATTTTTTTACTAAATTCAGTTCATTTAAAGACAGCTGATGAAGTACTATTCTACTGTATTAAGCTCACCTAAAGAAGATATCTACTCGCATTTCGTTTTTAAGATAATCATAGTTTTCAGTTGACTGAATTTACACCGCTAAAGATTGCCACTCTGATAGTCATCGTGGTGACTGCTTCCGTCGTTTAAAATATTTTTGTTTTCTCAAGTTGTCTATTGAGACTGTGGCTAATTCACACCGGAAACGGGTTCGAGGTCTTGACTAGAATCCGAAGACTAACATCAAAATGCTGGCAATTTTCGCCGGAAGTATATATCAGCAAAGTTATGTATTTACAGACGTAGTGGGAAGTCCGATCAGTGTATCGTAAACTTATTAGATATCCCGTTTTCGTCTTGAATAGTTGCTGTGAAATGACTGGTGGTAAATCCAAAAAATCTAATCTTTTTGTTAAACGTGTTTACCAAGAACTAGGAGAATACGGTGGAGTATTCAA